TAACATGAAATTGCATTAAGCCAACATCAGCAGCGCTGGCAAACATATGTTTAGAATCCAATTTTAGAGATAATATTATCTAGTAGAAAATGGACTCCCTGATGACAGTGTTAACTTCAGGAAAATTATCTATGTTGGCAGCTTTATGTTATGATCGGAACACCACTGTCAATTCTATCTGGGATGTATTTCATGTCTCAGCAATTTTAAGCATCTCAAGCTCATGGTGCAGGGACGTCAGGTCAGCAAATGATGTACTGTAGATTTTCGATGTAATTTTCAAATAAAATATTTGAATGCTAGTTTTTTAAGTAATTTCATTGAAGTGACTAAATGTATTTGTTTGCGGTATATGGTTTACTGCAGCGTTTGGCATTTGATGACGTTATGTTGAGAATAGTCATTACTCTTTTACTCAGGACAGTGCATGAAAAAGAAATTGATGCTGTTTGTCAGTAACGGATCTGTGAAAGCCGGGTGAAATCTAGCTTTGATTCTTGCTTACGAGATAATTAACAATAGTTATGTTGGTGACAGGGCCGAGAACATAAATTCAAGGAACTGAAGAAAATGCTGATTTTTTCATGGATGTGGGAGTTTAGTTTTTAATGTTTCCCAGTAATTTCATTCCAAAGATTTTTCTGACTTAGATCAGGTGTGTCTTCATTTGATTAAGGATAATTTTCAGGAAAAATGAAGCAATAGTATTTATTTTACCTGTTTTGCGGTTTGTCTTTGATCTTTAACAGGGATATGATTTGAGAATATGGGCTCAGCTTGACCAAAGCTTTTTCCAGCGAAAACTGTAACTTCAAATATAACAATCAATTAAGGGCAAATGAAATATGTTCGTATAAATATTGTGGCAGGTGCAACAGAGAGTTTACTCAGAAAGAAGAAGAATATTAACGTTGATGAATTGTTGCACATAAGGGTGCTTGGTGACCCTGTGCAATTGAACAGATACCATTTTCCACACTTAACAAAAGATCATTAGTTGTGAAACATCAGTAGTAAATGCCTTTCTCTGTGGAGATTGACAGCCAAGACACCTTTACTATTTAAATATATATATATATTATATATATATATATATAATATATAATATAATTTTTATTTTTGTTTTTTTTTTTGAGGTAGTGTGTACTACAATGACAATGTTATGTTTTATATTTGGGTATAACCTTGGAAATAAGTCAGTTTGTTTTCAAAGTGCTATTCCCTGATCACTTTAAGGATTAGCAAATGCTATTTTTAGGACATTTTTTTAAAAGCTTCCAAATGTAATGTATTAGTAGCTTACTGTTTGCTGTGTTTTCTAGAGAGCGTTCAATATATTCTCACATACTTAATTATTCTTTTCTAAGATCTTGATTGTTGCTGTATGGAGAATGTCATATGCTAATATTTCATATGCATTAATATTTCATATGCATAATATTTCACAATCAATTGTTAACAGCAAAACGTAGATATTATTATTTCCTTAAATCTACTTAAATTAGAAAAAAAATGATTCAATACGCCAACTTAATCATTTGACAGATTCCCAAATCTTTCTTTTTGTATAATTTTAATGGTTTGATGGAATGATGACAAAAATGTTGTTGAATGGGTGATAAAGGACTTGTATGGCGAAAACCAACGTGATTGGAAAAGTTGCACACCATTATGAGTAGTAGTTGGTGGAGTACAATGACATTCTTGAAAAAGAATGGTTCAAAAGATTTAGCTTGGTCATTAAGTTTGTCTGGTAGGCAAGGTGATCTATCTCTGTTGTGGCCTCCCATTCTTTCACTGTTCTTTTGCATTTTATTAATATTATTTTGAGCTCATTTGTCTTTGTAGAGCTTATAATTTTAGTGCTTTTATTTTATTTTCAGGTGAAAGTGAGAAATTGACTCACATCCAGCAGTGTTTTCAAGTATTGCAGACATTGTCTGTTGAAATTCAAAAGCTGAAAGTTGAGGACAATCTGTATTTACCTATTGTCTCACAATATGCAAAATGTTATCAAATGTTCTGTAACAATTTGAAGGAGTGCCCTTTACAGTTTTTAACATTGTTTTTCATCGAACAAATACAATTTATTCTTTCAGTTAAAATAGTCAAGAAGGAATCACCAAGCACCAAATTGTTTTCTTCCACATGTGTTAGAACATGGAAGAGCTTTTTGTGTATACTTTTAAGTGGTTGTTTGCAAACAACAAAACAAAACAAGAAAACCATTGTGAAAATGATACAGCCAGCACTTTTGAGTTCCTTCACTCATGCTGATCATGCGATTCATGAAATTACAATAACTTTTAGTATTACAGAAGATATAAATATGCAAACAAACTATGAATGTAATAAATGCAGAACTATGCAAGAAAGAATGAGTACAGGCCGAAATTCATTGCTCTCTCCAAAGATACCATCTGAAATGAATGACAAACTTAAGGTATGTAAAAAAGTGTACAAGTTTTTTTAAGCTTATGTGTTTGTAGTTGTTTGTAATTTAAATTTGAAATTTAATTTTATGTGTATATTTTTCCATAACATTTCTACTTGAGGTTGAATCTAGACTCAAAACTGATTGAAAATTGCTTTTCTGCAGAACTTTTTGTTGAGAATATTTTTCAAAATCTTAGTTTTTTTCAAATTGCTTTGTGGATTTGCTTCTTCATCCTTCCACTGAGAATATCAAACAAGGGAATTTCTTTGAGTGGTAAACAGAATCTCTATTGTGAGTGTTATTCATTTCTTTAGTGAATTAGAGTATAGAGAAATTCACACTCTCAAATTCATTCTCTGCAAGATGCTATATTCAAGCAATGAAGTTACCACAAGCACTTATTCAGGAATACAAAGTAAGCAGTTGCAGGGGACCAAAGATTCCTTTTATATTTCTGTTAACATTGTGAGTAAAATTGATTTGTGGATTTGCTGGTGCTTCCGCTGGTGAATGCGCCTTCAATGTATTTCAAAACAGTGGCCCTATTCAGAGTGCCTACTAAGTTTTCAGAATACTATGATCGGTTTTCTTTCTCTAAACCCATTCTTGTATTTTTAAATTTGCATTTAACACTTCGTCCACCAAGGCACTTTACCCTAATGGTGCTAGTGTCCATAATTTTGTTGATCTTATTTATGGCATGCTGATCCCAACAATGGAAGTGACCTATAAGGCAGCCGACTTTAGATTAATACCACAGTTGTGTTTCAAGAGCCCAGATACATAATTCGGCCAATTGGTTTGCCTCTATTTGTGTTGCTGGAGGATTCACAGAGTAAGGAAATGTCCACTCATGTGTATAAAAAAATATACACATGGGCGGGCATAAAATTTACATGTAATTAAGAATACACACTGTAGTCTAAGTGTTAAACAAGGAAATTTATAATTTCGACCAGAACTATTTTCAGAAGCGAAACATTACACGTACACACCGTCAAATCCAAGCAACCAATTGGAGGGTATATGAAGCACATGCATTTGTTTACATAGGAACATTCCAAAGGTAAACAGACCTTAGATCATCGTAGATTAATATTTGCGAAGAACAGAACAGCTGCGGACGGGGTCAGTGTGATTAAGGAAGAAGTTTGGGCACAATAGAAAACACTCACTCGAGATACTAATGAAGAACATCTAACTCGTGTTGCTGAAGACTTTTCACGTCGCAGGAAAAAATAAGATGTCTTTACAAGCAACCGTATGTAGGAATCTGTTGTACCCTATGACTTAAGCTACTAAAACTCATCTTTAAACCAGATTCGGTTTTGTGAATGTTTCCTTCCCTTCCCCCGAGTGCGCGCCTGCCGGGGAAGCGCAGCGTGACCTTGTATGGCGGACTGTTACATTCAAAATATCCGTTAAACTATTCGCAAAATAACACAATTGCTCAAAAAATGCGTCTCTAACGTATGACTTATGTATTCATTAGATTCGCTCGTCGTAGATTTTTTACGCTCGTCGTAGATTTTTTTACGCTCGTCGTGATAGACCGAAAAAATATGTATAGTTCCGTTAGAAAAAAACAAAGTTACCCCAAATATCTCTTAAAAAGTGATAAAATGGAAATGAATACACCTATCAATTAGTCCCGTTCTCGCATGCTCTATGCTCTTCCGTGAAAACTGCATTGCAACGACTTTAACCGTTCAAAAGTTACAGGAGGTGCCAAAGTTACGTGAGTCACCCTGTCCACCATGTTTTATTTATAATATTGTATGGATGTGTGTATACACAGGTGTCCAGAAGCTCTCGTTACAAAAAAATACACTAGATTCTCTGTTGACTGACACGAAGAATCCAGTTTTCGAAAAAGAACGAAAAAAATTGTTCTTAAAATTAAATTTCAAAGTGACTTGCGGTCGCGATATTCAAACCTGCTGCCGCGACACGGCAGACACCAGCGCGCCGTCTGCCAACGGGGCTGGGCCTAACGTCGTTTCTTTGAGTTTTCGGTGAAACTTAAGTGAGACAATCGTCGAGCGGTTCTACCTCTACAGACGTAATTGTACAATAGTGATCACACATGTCATACTTCAAATATAACATACGTTTGTCGTATATTTAACGTTTACGAGAACCCAGTGCTCGAGAGAATAGTAGTCTCGTGGTGTCAGTGATTAATCCCGCATGGTGGGTTAAAGGGAACATACTTTACAATCCAACAACGCGATAAGGCAATCATTTTCGAAGCACGAAGTTTATTTTACTTCTGCTTTCTTCTTGAGTCAAAGTACCTTCAAACTACGCGACTATGGTCCAAATGTACCTTTGGGTGGGGGAAAAAATCAAATGAACTGCTGGTGACGTCTAGTGTTAAGATTAGGATTTGCATAAGATAAACTACGTCTTGCAATTAATGTCAAAAGCAAACACGAGATAGCGCCAGTGGTTTTTCTAATGAATTTGCCGATTTCAGAAGGTGAATATTGGGCTATGTGCGTTCTCTGCAAACTTTTGTTGAACTATCATTATTCAAACTATTTTTAGTTCTCGTGCTACAATGTCCCGAAAGGTAAGGTGTATTTTCAGTGAAAGCATAGAAATACATTTTTTGATGTATGGCGAGAAGTTTATTTCGCGCGCGGGTTTCAGATGCAGTTCATTCTTTTTTGTGGACCATTGTTGAAAGTCGTTTTATTTTGTTCCAGAGTAGTATGTCGCGTGAAACAATGTCCAGAAGAAACGTGGGAGGACGTGCGTACAAGAGGTATAGTGACAGGCAAATGGAATTATACTTGGCAGACATTCCAAGTAATGCGTTGATGCAGTGTAAAGTTTCTTAGAAATACGAAATTTCAAGAAACTAGATTATTCTAACAGTAAATGCGGTCCACCAAAACAACATTCGACCAACAGGACGCCAGTGTATATGTGCTGAAGAAGAAAATGCTGAATTTTTTTTTTTGATTTCCGTTTACTGTGTTTAATTTGCGATACATTGTTAAAATGCATCTAGACAAGAAAGGAGAGCAAAAAAAGCAGTTCAAAAATACTTTTCCTTGACACAGGTCTTTGAGTTTCTCAAAGATTGTGCAGCACTATGAAGCGTGTGAGGGCTGCTGAAGTTGAAATGATTAGGCCGTTTTTCATTCACTGGGAAAAGTAAATAATAGACGTTCCACCTCATCTCGCCTCTAATTATGATTAAATAAATCGTGCGGGTGGCCCTGATGAAAAGGTCACTACAACATTGGGCTGCAAGTATCCTGAAGTCATTAGTAATTGCTCAAAGGCTGCGGTCATATAACATGAAAATGCTGCTGGAGATATTTTGCATCCTTTCGTCAGTTACAAGGCCAAGCATTAACGGGACACGTGGACAAAGGGTGGACCAGAGCATGCTCGTTATAACAACGAAATTATGTTGGCTTGGCCCACGCACCGAAGACGTGCGTGAAAAGGTTGTCATAGGAGACAATTTGAGCTTTCACATAAGCCATGATGTTCTGGAAACATGTACGGATTTTAATATAGCTTTCGTGACGTCCGCTAAACAGCACTCATTTGACTCAGATTTGGGGCGTGGCCTATTTTCGACCCATAAAATTGCATTGAAGACAAATAGTTTATACAAAGGCTACTAGGAAAGTTTTGCAATACAGCATTATTTCATTTTTTCAAAGTAATTTCCGCCACATTCAATGCACCTTTCCATCCTCCAAGACCAATCTCTAAACCAGTTCTGCCAAGTTTCACTAGGAAGTAAGGCACACTCGTCCCAAGCCTTCAGAAGGTCCTAATCACTGGAAAACCGCATTCCTTTCAGCTTCATTTTCACATGTGGGAACAGTGCAAAGTCACGAGGAGCGAGGTCTGGACTGTAAGGAAAGCGCTCAAGAAGTTTCAGTCCTGTAGTGGTCAAATATTCCGTGAAGGCTTTGGTGCGGTGAGCTGGAGCGTTGTCATGATGGAAGAATCAAGTGTCCATGATTTGAATGTGGCCGCAAGTTCTTTAACGATTGAATGACTTTGGCAGGCACTGTTCAGCATACCACTTAGCTGTGACTGTCTTCCGTGTCTCCAAAACACGCTCCACAATTCCACTCGATTTGAAAAATACATCTATCATTTTCTTCTTTACAGATAGAGATTTTCGGACAGCGACGGGTGTCTCCTCATCTTCAAAAATCCAAACTTTGTTTTGAGTCTTGGTAGGCACGTTATAATAGTACAGCCAAGTCTAGTCACCTGTCACGATGCTGTTTACATACCGATATTGACTCTTAGAAAACCTTCTTAGCATCTCCCGTCACCAAGTCACACGTGTCATCTGCTCTTCAGTCAGTGCGTGCGGCATCCAGAGAGACAAATTTTCTTCACTTGCAAATGGTCATGCAGAATCAAACGAATTGCTGGTGCATTAAGGTCTAAGGTATCCTCTATCTGCTTGTAGGTCACTCATCTGTCTTCGTCTGGCATTTTCCTCACAGCAGCAATGTTTTTCTCCTTAACTGATGTTCGTGGTCTGCCCGTTCTCTCAGCATCCTCCAAACTGAATTTTCCCCTTTGGAATTATCTGTACCACCTGAATATTGTAGTACGAATTGGACAAACATCTCCGAGTGGAAACGTTATATCTTCAAAGCACTGGTCAACGTTTAAACCACGCGCGAAGTAATACCGCAAAACTGCCCGAATCTCACTTCGAGACCAAGAAGCTATATCAAGCACTTCAAACTGCCACTGTCACCGAAGAACTGAACCTGCAGACGCAGCACTGCGGCTAATGTTCAAGTATGAACGTGTCTCAGCACCCTGCGACAAGCTGCCTCCTGTGACTTACGTATTGCAAAACTTTCCTAGTGCCCTTTGTACATGGAAATCTACGTCTAAAGGGCGGAAATTACCTACTATAACCACACATGTATTTCCGACTTTACCGATTATGCTGTGGGAGAATATTCATGTGAACTCTGCAGTAAATTTGAAAGTTAGCTTTAAGAAAACTAGGATTTATGTCACTGATGTAAATGCTGTGCTCAAACGTCTGTCTTTCTAGAATCCTCACAACACAACTGATTAAAGTCCAATTTCAGAATTATTTATTCAATATTTGAAAGACAAAAAGAAATTGTTGAAGCAAAAAACTGGGAATGTCGGCAGAAAAGGCTGAGAGTTGAAGCAGGAAAAAGTATTTCTGTGGTCGAATTACAAATGCCTTCATCTACTACTAAGGGCACAAGGACGGTATCAAGAAGAAAGGAAATGCAATCTAATGCCAATGAAAGTGAAGCTGCAGATTCAGACATTTCTTATTCCACAGATTCCTCTCTTGATATATCTGATGAATTAAATATTTCAACAGACGAGATACCAGCGAGTCTGCAAAAGGGCGAGTGGCAAGGGGGGAGGGGATGACTTACACTGCACCGCACGTCACGTGTCAATCCAAACACATCGGAACTGCTAGTTCACGGTAGGACACAAGTGTTCTCGTGTGAAAACCATTCGTTTCTCAACATGTCAAAGAGTTACTAATACTATTATACACAGCAAGTGTGTAGTCATCGCCCATGTGATTGCAAAATGTGATCAAGAGAAGATGTGTCAACATTTGCTGAAAGCTAGTGAAAGAGCCTCCGAATACACAGGAGTTGGACTCACTACCATCAAAGCCATACAGAACGTAAATAAAAAGAGGAAGGGGAATCGGATCCCAAATCGGAAGTTGAAGTCTTGTGGTAAGAGGTGTTGCGTGACAACTGCCCATGTAGATAGTTTTTACCAGTGTTATTCGAAATACGATGTTGGACTTCTTCGCGAGATAAAAGGTTGTGACAACGGTGCAAAAACTTCTTCCTGTTATTAAAGACAAAATTAATTTTCCTTGGAACACGACATTTTTATTGCGAATTTTAAATGGAAAAAATGCCATTCAAAGTGACGGGTGCTGATAAAGATACCGGAGAGTGGATTGATGATCCAGATACATTGTTCAGTTGAGAACCGAGATATCTGTGTAGATACGGCGTATTGATAACACCCTTAAACTTTAAAAGTGCTGGCAGTGGTTTCGGGTGTCGAAGAGATGCATGCAACAAGTGGACTTATGTTGTTGTATATAATGAATAATTGTTCATGCATGGGGAAAGAATGGATTTCTTTACATCTCAAATTTTTCGAGCAGGTAGTACTGTGACAGACAACCACGGCCAAATGAACGGCAATAATTTTGAGAAATAGATGCGTGAAAAATTACAGTATCTGCCAGAGCGAGCTGTTGACCTTGACAATGCCCCATACTAAAGTTAGGATGTCGAAAGAAAGTCCGCCTACTCAAGAAAACCTGACATATGGCTTCACAGGAAGGTAGTGCATTGTGAAGAAAGAATGCGTTAGACAAATTTATACCGATTAATTGCATCTTTCAAACCATGGGCTAAGCAATACAAGATTGATGCGTTGTTAGCAGCACACAGACATACTGTTGTGCTACTTCTTCCCTCCATGTGAGAACCCAATCTGTCAGAGAGGGAAAGCTGCTATTCAGATTCTGAATAACGTAACGATTCTGAATACACTGTGATCAAAAGTAGCCGGACCCTAGGCTGAAAATGACTTACAATTTCGTGGCGCCCTCTATCGGTAATGCTGGAATTCAATGAGGTATTGATCCACGCTTAGCCTTGATAACAATTCCACTCCCGCAAGCAAACTTTCAACCGGATGCTGGAAGGTTTCTTGGGCAATGGCAACCCATTCTCGCAGTGCTGCACCGAGAAGAGGTATCGTTGTAGGTTGGTGAGGCCTGGCAAGTTGGCGTTCTGAGACATCACAAAGAAGTTCGATAGGATTCAAATCGGGACTCTGCCAGTCGGCCAGTTCATTACAGGGATGTTATTGTCATGTAACCACTCCGCCACAGGCCGTGCAGTGTGAATAGGTGCTCAGTCGTGTTGAAAGATGCAATCGCCATCCTCGAATTGCTCTTCAACAGGGAAGCAATAAGGTGTTTCAAAACATCAGGACCTGTGCCGTGATAGTGCCACACAAAACAACAATGATGCAAGTGCCCTCCATGAAAAAACTCGCCCACACCATAACACCATTTTGGACGTGTCCGGGTACTTTTGATCAGGTAGTGTAGGAGCGATAAGGCTGGATGCTGAAATAATCATGCAAGACAAACGTCCGCGATCGTGAAATTAATAAAAAAATGTTTCGCGCGTCCAGTAGGACGCCGAGGGC